AGCACAATCAACATCACAAGAATAAAGGCCAAAATCCGAACATCAGCAGGAAGAGATTCCCAAAAATATTTGCAGTCCACAAGGGTTAAACGCATCAAAGCCGTACAATTAACACCATTCAGACCCATATGGCTGAAAGATCAACGGATAAGCGTAACTCTTAAAAAACGTGGATTTTCTACAAGCCATATTGCTGAAGGTGTGAACAGGGTACCGAATAAAGGGAAAAAAAGGCAGACCGATGGCATGCATAAATAAGATGCAAAATATAGTCCTACATACACCAAAACGTCATTAAACAATTCTCTTTTCACATTAACCAGTAGTCCAATTTTGACAAATGCATTAGCCGGCAAGACTTTCATTGAAGGCAAAGCCCAAAGGAACAATTTCAGAGCACAGAGCTTCCAGTTTATATTTATGGAACAAAGGGTTTAATGCATCGAAATATTGGCTTTTTCTGTAAATCATATAATACTGCAACCAGTGAAAACGGTAGTAACTAGGTAAGAGTAAAGGTACCTCTACACCAAAAAAGAGTTACAAGGCCTACATAATGCAAAACAGGCTTAAAAATGATAAAACCTTGTGAACAATTGGACAATGATAAAACATCTCAAAGAACATGGAGTATTTATCTAAACATTTTTAGTCACTGGATCTGCTTAGAGCAAAGAACACTAATTATCCACAGGCGAGAAACAATAATGCAAATTTGATCTACATAGGATTCTAGCACAGTTCTAGGAAAACTTTTCCTAGCTAAATCCTTGGAGCAGTTGCAACATAAAAGTCCTACAGAAAGGAAAATCCAAGAGGATAAGCAGACTTAATAACAACCACATGATAATTTCTTTCCAAAAGAACCGCTACAGTTCTTATCTTAAGGAAACTGAAGCCAAGAGATCATAAGAACTTTAAGCCACAAGAAAGTGGTCTAAAGCAAGAAATGAGTAGACTTGATTATTCTCTTATCCACACTATCTTGAAATAGCAAGTTATGGTTGAAAGGTCGCCGTAACTAAAAGATGCAGGAGGGTAACTGATGAATATGATATCACAAGGAAAAGAATTCTTTAACTATTTAACTATATTCAAAATCAACTAGAGCTACGTAAATAGTTACCACTACATGTCCAAGCAGTCATATATCACTTTCATTGGGGTAAAAACAAATAATAGCATGCAATAGATGTTAGATTAACTTATTTTATTTTGATGGGTGTAAAAAGGTATAATGACGTACCAGAAATGTGACACTTGAAAATAGACTTCAGCAGCCTTGATTTTTTCTCTCCACTTTTGCACTTTTGTCTCCAAATCAGAGCCGATGAGTTTTCTTTATAAACGTGTACTCAGCCACTCATCTCATAAACCTATATCTCTTTTCTCTATCCTCAGTTCTCAACAGACCAAACAGAAACACAGAGAAACATGACATTAACATTACGTTCATCAACCTCTCTTATCAACCTAAAAGACTCAAAAAGTCCTGGAAACCCAGAAATTTCATCGGTAGCCCACTTTGCAAAAATGAAACCACCGACACCCCATCTCCGAATAAGGAGCTCAATCGAGGAAGTGAAGTTTTCCCGTGATATGACCTTCACCCCAGAAGGTAGAACCACCGGGAGATGGGAAAAGCTCCATACTTTACCACACATACACGACATGAACGGGTCTAGTGTTTCGGTATTTGTCATGCTGCCACTAGACACCATAACAATTTCAGGAAATCTGAACAAACCAAGGGCGATGAACGCCAGTTTGATGGCCCTAAAAAGTGCAGGCGTCGATGGGGTAATGGTGGACGCTTGGTGGGGATTGGTGGAGAAAGACGGGCCTCTGAAATACAACTGGGAAGGGTATAATGAGCTTATCCAGATGGTTCAAAAGCATGGTCTAAAACTCCAGGTTGTTATGTCCTTCCATCAATGTGGAGGGAATGTTGGAGACTCTTGCAGGTAATGAATCAAATTCCTTCATTTGTTCTACGGAAATCCACACAACAAAGTCTATGCAAATTCCCTCAAGCATGTAATTTTCTTGTTTAACTAATGACCTACATGGTTTCTCTTAAAATCTAGTATTCCTTTACCTCCATGGGTGCTTGAAGAAATCAGTAAGAACCCTGATCTTGTCTACACAGACAGATCTGGGCGAAGGAATCCTGAGTATATCTCCTTGGGCTGTGACTCTGTGCCGGTTCTAAGAGGACGAACACCTATCCAGGTCTACACAGATTACATGAGGAGTTTCCGTGAAAGATTTAGAGACTATCTCGGTGGAGTCATCGTGGTAAGCATCCAACCAAAAAGCATCCTGAATAGAAATTAAATTCATTTAACAAGACAAAGAAATCAAGCATTCAAACATCTAATTAAACAGCATACTATAACAAAGCAAACTGTTAAGGAAGACTACTTAAAAACAATTAGTGGTTATGCCATCTATACTCAAGCACTTTCATTCTTTCAGGAAATCCAGGTGGGAATGGGACCTTGTGGAGAACTAAGGTACCCGTCGTATCCAGAAAGCAACGGGACATGGAGATTTCCCGGAATTGGAGAATTTCAGTGCTATGACAAGGTATATTTCCAAGAACAATAAGCCCCAATTTTGCAACAAACAACATTCGTAGGAATATTACACATACCTGAAACTTATCCACAATTGAAGGGTGGAGCTCGATTTCAATTGGCGAGCTAAGCATAATTTATGAAAAGACAAAATATAGTTACGTTTGGAAGCTTCGGATTACCAACATGTGGTAAACTTATTCTGAGAACTCATGTCTTTTGATGACAGTATATGAGAGTCTCACTTCAAGCATATGCTGAAGCGAATGGGAAAAGTGACTGGGGAAAGACTGGACCCCACGATGCGGGAGAATACAAGCAACTTCCTGAAGATACTGGTTTTTTCCAGAGGGATGGTACGTGGAATAGTGAATATGGGCAGTTTTTCCTAGAATGGTACTCTGGGAAGCTACTGGAACATGGAGATAAAATCCTAGCAGCATCAAAAGGGATATTCCAAGGGACTGGAGCAAAGCTATCAGGGAAAATAGCTGGAATTCACTGGCACTACAACACAAGGTCACACGCCGCTGAACTGACAGCTGGGTACTACAACACAAGAGATCAAGATGGTTATCTGCCAATAGCTCAGATGCTTGGTAAACACGGAGCTGTGCTCAACTTCACTTGCATGGAAATGAGAGATGGAGAACAACCTGACTGTTCGAACTGCTCACCGGAAGGATTGGTCAGGCAAGTCAAGACCGCAACAAGGAAGGCTGGAACAGAACTGGCAGGGGAAAATGCACTGGAAAGGTATGACGCAAGTGCATTTAGACAAGTTGTAGCAACGAGTAGGTCTGATTCTGGAAACAGGGTAGGGGTAGCCGCTTTTACATATCTAAGAATGAACAAAAGGTTATTCGAGGGTGAAAACTGGCAACAATTTGTGGAGTTTGTTAAGAACATGAAGGAAGGAGGTCACTACGGCAGACTATCAGAACATGACACCAGCAAAAGCGATCTCTACGTGGGATTCATAAGAAGCAAGAGCACTAACAGGGTCAAGGAGGCAGCTCTAGTGTAATTATTAGATAGTGAAATATAAAGAGAAAGCAATAGAGAAACAAGGGCTCAAAATCGTGGTCTTGAAGAGTTTATTTGCCCGATACTGTACTAGGTTGAAGCTGAAGAGAAAGGAAAACAAAATTTGTCTTGAACAGTCGTCATTGTACATCAGAAAATCTCATCTCAATTGAGATTCATTCTTGTTTTCAACCTTGCTCCGTCCCGCTTCTTAGTATAATTACACAGGAAATGAAATGCCCAAGACTAAACTTATCGAATTGCTTGGAAATTCCAAGCCTAATTTCGAAGGCAGTGTATAACATAAACCAACTCGAACAGATCGAGAGAACAAGAGTATGAGGAACAACTCCAGTAACAAGTAACAACGTTCATCAGGGATATTATTGGAAAATCATAACGGAATTAATGAAATTATCAGGACAAGATCAAACCTACTCGCTGCCCTAACTCAGCAACAGACGAAAAATCAAAAAGGGAAAATCAAAGCAAAACAGTCGGGAAAATCGAAATACCTAAATCATGGATGGGAAGGAGAAGCGGAGGCGGAACCGCCGCGAGGGAGAGCCCCGATCCAATCGCCGAGCTATTTACTCGCAGACGCTGAACCGAACACGATCCCGTACCTTGGGAAAAAAGGCAAGAAAATGCATAAACCCTAGAAAAAACCAGAGATACGGAGGAGAGAGAGAGAGAGAGAGAGAGAGGGGAAGAAGCGATGAACTCACCATAAGGAGATGGTGGAAGAGATACCGGCGGCGGCGGCCACCGTTGGGATCAACGGGAACGAGTCCTCCGTCATCTCTTTCACCTCTCTCTCTCTCTCTCTCCGTGAGATGATTTTTTTTCTCGCAAATGTTTTCTGAGGGTGGTTATTATTATTATTTTTTAAATAGAGCGGAAAATTCGAAGATTTGAAGGTTTGAACTGAAATCATCAAAGGGATATAAAATTTTTCTGGAATATCAGTAATATTATAACATTTATATATTTAATATTCACAAAATTATAAATCCGCGAAGTAGACGAGCCCTCGAATTAATATTATCACCAAATGTTCATACTTCATTACATTTAGATAAATTTCTCAACACCGAACAAGAATCTTTTATTACAAAACATCCGAAGTCCAAACAAGGTCCGTATGTTGTAAGAATACAGGGATAAATATAAATAGCACGCAGACAGGACTCGTTAGTATATTACAACACGTAGAAAAAGATGGATCAGTTCATGCAACGACAAAAAGAAAAAATCTCAAATGCACCCGAGGGGGTGGGCGGATCCTAAGAGAAGGCAGGTTCATTTCTCTGGTGAGTATGCAGTTGTGATGCCCCCCAATACATCACCATCATTCATCATCAACATCACTCATCATCATTCATCATCATCCATCATCATCATCATGAACATGAACATGAATTGAAACGTACCAGGGGCTTTCCTTTCAGTAATGGGTCCAGAGTAGGCGCCGAGTCTGGGCGGGTGGAGCTAAGCCTGGGATGTCACGTATGTCCTTGTTGTTTGGGTTCACAATCTATATCCCATTGAAACAAAAAGAAAACAAAAAGATGCTTAATAATTGGTATGAGTGTGTTGTGTAGAACAAAGACAGTTCATGGAAGAAACTTCATTCCATGATCCATGATCAGATATTTGGAAAGTAAAACCATGGTTTATCGATTCGATTGGTGGGTTCGTCTATAAGAAGCAGCATGGAGAATTTGCTGCTATGGTGAAACAATTAACTAAAAACCAAAAGCTCCATTTTTTTGGATTTACAAAAACTCAAAATAAAAACTCTCACCATTCATAGCCTATAACTGGGAAATTTTGAAATGCTGGAATGAGAAAGAAAGAATCTGAGTGTGTAAATGTAAAAGGAGATACCTTGACAATGATGATTGCTATGACACCGATGACAATGAGTACGAGGAATGCCATGATACATTTGTCAGTGGCAACCTGAGAGAGGAAGGAAGGAACAATCAGTGCAAGGATTGGTTTGTCTAGCCAAATCGGTATACCTACTGCGAAAGCTACCCCAGCTATTCAATGGTTGGCCAGGGCTGGTTTGCTCGTATGGTAGGGACGAGACCGATTAACGAGTTAAGTTAAAGTTAAGGAAAAGGGATATTTTTTTGCAGAAAAGGGGAATATAGTAGAGAGGAGAAAGAGCATATCTAGAGATTGACCTGCCTACCAATTTCCTTCACCAGCTTTGAGGCCTTCTTGATTGAGAAATGAATAGAATCAAGCTCATTGACAACCCTACTCATTTGCTCGGTCTGAACCATCAAAATGTTACAGTTACTCAGATTTAGCAACAATCTTGGGACATTGAATGTGATACACAACAACAGACGAGATTCAATTGGAAGCACACTCAATTCAGATTTGATATGATTGGTCCTAAACCACGAACCTGAGCCTTGAGAGATGCCGCAGTATCTGTTCCAACGTTTATAGTTTCTTGAACAATCTATCATCAGAGGGCATACAAAGTTTAATTAGCATCTGTTTTTTTTAAGCTTATGAGAAGGGATAAAAAGGGGTCAGATGGAACACAGTTATTGAGATTAAACAAAAACTAACAACACCCTAAACAGATCGATCGACACTGACCTTTTTACCCCTTTCAATTGCTTGATCTGTATCATCCATCATCCTGTTTCCTTTGTCCATTAGCTCTTGATTGGTCATATCTGGGATGGAATTCATTGAAATTTGAGTAAATATTCCAGATACGTTCACATATAACCAAAAGGCCAAAACCCCAAAATTCAATATGCATGTATTTGTTGGTAACAAGTTCCTTTAAAGCTTCTCATGGCATATGACTACATATTCAGACTGCTCGGGGATCATGGATGGGAATAGATTGCCAAAATTCTAAAACCTTACTTGAAGCTAGTAAGACATTCTCTTCCATGTTCTCTTCTGCAGGCCCATCAAAAAGATCCACTCGCTTGTTATTATTAGCAAGGTTGGACGAGAATCTGTATAACCATCAATCAGTGCAATCACAAACATAAATACATGCAACAAGCTCATCTGCCAAACGATGTAGAAGAAACTGTACAAGCCAGCCCTGATTCTACTTTGAACATAGACATTGCTTTCAACATCTGAAGGATAAGTAAGAGAAAGGCAGGATATGAAGAGAAGTAACTTGAGAAAACGGAGATAGTACAGAGAATCCAGCAGCAAATTCGAGCAATCACAGATTTCTGAAAGTCTAACTTACTTCTTTTTAAGAGCAACATAAGAGTTCAGTTCCTTAACCTGCATAAAGACACATTTTTATGGCATTAGAGAACTTCAAAACATTTACCAGACAAAATACAGTAGGAGCCAACACTACCATGGATTGCCTTCTCTCGTTCAGCATCCTGTTAGTGTTGACATCGCTTCTGCTTTCCATGTCCTTAACTTCCCTATCGAAATCTTTGATAAGCCTGCGATTAAAAGTATGATCACCATTATCATCAATGTGATGAAGAAGATAACCGCAAGAGAACATCTGTGATAAGAATGAAATCTGGGTATGTCTATAAAGGAATGCTGAAGAATGAGATTACCTCTTACAATCTCGCATCTTGTCGGTGAGCTCTTCCAGTTGCCTACTCTGCCTACTGGCATCTTTAATCTTCTCCAGCTTTTGAAATCCATTTCTACGAACAAAAAAACAAAACATACATTATGAACATCATTTGGCCGGAATAAAACATGAAGATCTGCAAAAGGAGTTCGAAAATGGACGTCTCGGGATATGAAATGGGGAACGCAGAGATTCTCACGATAAGGCACGGAAAATGTCATTGATCTGTCCCTCGATCTCAGCCAGCTCTTCGCTGACCGCCGATAATGGATCCATCTCTTCGGACAATCCGCTTAGAAACTGACGATCTTCTCCACCATGTACAACAACAATGTCTCTTCAAATCCACGAAACACGAACACCTAAACAAATGCGAAATCGAACAAAACCAATGCCGAGGACGAATCGACTCGCCGATAATAGCAGATTCAAAAAAATTCCCAACCAGATCCGTGAGGATCCGATGCGTCAAACTGCAGAAACTCCGGACCGAATCCCGTACTCTAACCAAACGATCGAATCCCGGACCCAAATTTACCGAACAAACCGCGCAAATTAAAAGCCAAATCCGAAACCCCAGAGAATTTTTCAGATCCGTCAACAATGTAGCTGGCAAAAATCGATCAAGAGATCAGAGAGGCAAGTCAAAATCTCAGGCACCTAAAATCCAAAGAACAATACAATCGAGATCTTCCAAACACGCGGGGTTTTTCCTATTAATCTCTCTCGGACATTTTCGTTTCTCGGGTTTTTTTGGGCTTTTTCTTGGTTCTTCAATCTCCCTCCCCCATTGTTTTGGCTCTAAGATAGGAAAAAGTGAGATTTGAAAAAACATTGGAGGACCTAATTTTATTAATTAAATTCTTTTAATTTATTCGGCTAATTACTTATTAAGTGGGACCCACCACGACGTATCGTTAAATAAAGATCGTTTAAATCTGGTACGTCCGATATCTCCATCTGTCCTATCCGACGGTCCAAACATTTACATATGGTTTTCACCTGCTCTTGAGTTTGACTTGAAACAAATAATTGTCAGCAGTTGGGCCTCCGCCTTGGACCTTAGAAGACCCAATTTAAAATGATAATGGGCCGAAGCCCAATAATGAACCGAATAAGGGCCCAGATCCCTTAGGTTTAGGAATGGTAATCCTTATAAAAGGGGCTGAAATGTGAAATCTAGGGTTTCTGCCATCGTTAGCTGCCTCTGCCCGATTCGACCGACGTCGGAGATTCGCTCAGTCCGCCAGTAACAATGGTACGGTTCTCACGAAACGGTTTTCCTCAGATCTTGTTAATCTATGGCCGTTGATCAATCGTCTGGTGCTGCGGAAGTCCGTCTATGGGTTTTGCCCGCAGCATTTGTTCATGTGGGAGTAGTGATTTGGTCGAGTTTGGTTGCCCGATTCGGTGGGGGAGATTCGTATTTACTCGGTAGTGCCGGGAGATTACATTAGCGGTGCTTTGTCTCCATGTCGTTTGTTTAAATCGGAATCCTCTTTTGGAGTGAATCCATCCGTCTTCAAAATTCTAATTTCGTCGCTTGCAAGATGAACTTTTTTCTAGAGATTGTTGTGTTTTTTCTATGAAACTTTGACAGTAGCGAGCTTGTTTGCGAGCATCATCCATGAACTTCTTCCTCGTCACCAGTCTTTGTTTTTTTGGGTCATGATGGCTGATGCAACTTGCCTTGTTTTGGTTTCAGACCAAGAGAACAAAGAAGGCCGGGATCGTTGGAAAATATGGTGAGTTACCTATAATCCACCTATGATATGTGAATCATGTGCAGAATGTGCTCCTTCCCGTGAAATTAGCGCTTGTGCTTAGTGTGAAATTTTATCCTTCCCTTCCATTTTAAGTTGGTGAAGATTCATTTTTCCACATCCTTTTCCTTACATGCTCGACAAGATCCTTCATAGAGCTCGTTTGGTAGGATTGAAATGCCTGTTGAGGAATGAAATCCGTTCGATAGATACCCATTGCAGTGAAGATTGGTTATTGTCTATGTTATCTGTGTCTGAATCTGTTGACATTGTGTGTATGTGAAAGGTACCCGGTATGGTGCCAGTCTTAGGAAGCAAATCAAGAAAATGGAAGTGAGCCAGCACAGCAAGTACTTCTGCGAGTTCTGCGGGAAGGTAAACACCGCAGAACTTCGTTTTTTCGGATTGATATACAAGCTCTAGCTGCGTTTTTTTTCCCCGGGTTTTGGGTAAGATTGTTGGTTATGTGTTGCACAGTACTCTGTCAAGAGAAAGGCCGTTGGTATTTGGGGGTGTAAGGACTGTGGGAAGGTGAAGGCTGGTGGTGCCTACACTATGAAGTAAGAGAGAATCCTTTACCGGGTTTTTGTTTTCGGATGAGCAATCAAACCTTTCATGCTCCTTCATTATTCTCTCTACTTGAACTGACTTGGCATTGATTTTGCAAACGTGTGTATTTGTATTGCTTGGGCAGCACGGCAAGTGCTGTGACAGTGAGGAGTACCATTAGGAGGCTGAGGGAGCAAACGGAGAGCTAAGTTGGGAAAGAGTTTTGGTCCCAAAATATCTTCTTCATTCAGAGCCGCCGTTCCACCGTTTTTCAAGTTGTTTTCTGTTATAAACACCGTATTATTTCTCTTCCCATTTTTGACCTCTAATGAAGTTGATCTCTGGTTATTTGGCTTCTAATTATCTAAGTTGGAAAAGAGTTTTGGTCCCAAAATATCTTCTTCATTCAGAGCCGCCGTTCCACCGTTTTTCAAGTTGTTTTCTGTTATAAACACCGTATTATTTCTCTTCCCATTTTTGACCTCTAATGAAGTTGATCTCTGGTTATTTGGCTTCTAATTATGCAACAAAAAAGAAAATTCTAAAGCCGTAATTGTTGTGAACAGTGGAGGAAACCAAATCAGATTTGATTTGATTCACGACATTACATGATCGGTTTCTGGTTTTTGGTACATTATACGAGATGGCCTACATACATTTTGTTTATATGAACTTTGTTTTTTTAATCTAAACGCTCATTAATGCCAAAAACAAGGAGGATGGGCAAGAGAAAATTGAAACCTGTCTTGGCTGCGTGCTAGGCGAGTAAATCACGAGACGGGCTGGAACTGTCGTGAAATACCTGCGATTGGACCGCTTTTACGGACGCCACCCTCGCGGCGGTAGCTGCTCTGTTAGCGGCCATGACTGCCCTTTTCACCCTCTCGTCCACTTGCCCGACTTCTTTCGCTCTCTCGGCCGCCTTCCTCGCTTTCTGTCACGAAGAGAAAAACAATCTACTCGGTTATTTGATCCAACACTCATGCTGGTCGTGAAGGGTTTTTTCACACACACACAAAGCGCCATTTTACCAACCAGCAACAATCTGTGGCGAAATCATAGATTTTTGAAATTTTCACTTAGACATCCATAATTTTGACTTGGATACACAATTCTTAGATCGTGTGTGTCTTTCTTAGGCACATGATTTAAAGGACCCATACAAATCTCCCTAGCTCCTTTTAGGATTTCGCCGGAAAATGGATAATGCTAATGAAGTACCTGAACAGTGTCGAGAACCTTGGTATGGCTTATGTAGAAAGATGACCCGGGACGGGTGGTTTGCTCGCAAGGACAGCTGAGGACGCCGTTTTCCCAATGGCCAGCCTGTGTCTCACCATTCCTGAACGTATACATACCAAGTCCTTGCCTTCTTCCCTCATGCCAGGCTCCTTCATACCGATGCCCGTTTCCGAATTGATAAACTCCAAAACCATGCATCTTGTCTGAAAAATACTCTCCAGCATATGTGTCACCATTTCTGAAACATACAATGGAAGACTCGAGATCAGGCAGACAGTGATATCAAGTTTTGAATCCGAAATACCACAAATAGCTGAGAGAGCAATGTTTGATCATGCAATTATTTCAAGTTCAGTGGCAATGGCAAAAAAAATCAAAAAGCCTAAAGTACAATCTCCTCTAGATTTCTAATTGTTCTAAAACTGAGGTGTGACCACAACAGAAGGTAAATTCTCTAACTTTGGTGTCCTCTAAGAAAGACAACCCAACAACCCACCAAAACTAAGAAACTCAAGAAGCCAAATACTTTCAGAAAACATTTACATAATCAATAGCATAGGCTCATATGCACCGCCATCCATAGTCTATGCACCACCAAAATCCTTGATGAGGAACACAAGATGAAAAAGCAAGATACTTTCAGAAAACTACATACATTAGATCCTATGGAACATCAACTGCATGGGCCACAATAAACCATTACAGGTCAAAGCACAAATACATTCTCAGAGCCCAGATGATTTCTCAGTGTAGCAGTGAAGCCTGTAATTTCGGGTTGATCATCAATGAAAACACAAGAATATCAGCACAAGTAAAACTTCAAAAGACAGATGATTTCACCTGAAATGGTAATGTCCAAGGCCATGCTTTACACCCCATTTGAACTCTCCAGCGTATCTACTTCCATCCTCAGAGGTATATACACCACAACCATGGCACTGCCCATTAGACCACTCACCAGCATACACATCCCCAGTATAAAATCTGTATATTCCAATCCCATGTCTCATTCCCTGCCTATACTGACCACGATACCTGCTTCCTTTAGCCCAAGTTTCTACTCCATGGCCATCGTACTTGCCATCAATCCAATCCCCTTCATATTTACCTTTCATGGAATAGTAATAAACCCCACTTCCTGAACACTTCCCTCTGTGAAACTCTCCCTCGTACACATCACCATTGTTGTACTTTTTAACCCAGGAGCCCGAGTTCGTCTTCTTCTCTGTCACAGGTTTCGACCCAATCGACCAAACAACCTGTTTCGTGTTGGACTTCGAGGAAGAATACGAGCTGGTAGGTCTAAGCTTGAGGGGCGGTAAATGAGCAAGAAACAAGCGGATTGACGGTAAATGTGGAAGGGCAAGATTGAGGGCCAAAACAAGGATAAAGGACACGGCGAAGAGGACGACAAGGAAGCGAAGAAAGAGACGAACGTTGATTAACAGGAAGAATATGTACAGAGGAGGAACGGAGAGAAGAAGCAGGAAACGAAGGTGGAAACATATCAGACGGGCGCGAAGGATATAGCGGAGTAGCTTCCGTACAAAATGATTACTCGCGGAAGGAATCAGGATCGATAACCGAGATGAAGACAAAAACCTCAAAAGGCGCGAGGGGCAATAAGAAGAAAACGAGCCCAAGCTCGCGCGGGAACTTCCTCGCCGGAAATGGTCAACGCCGCCGGCGTAACCAAAAGGACGAGACGATTGAGCGACCACCGCAGACCTCTTGTGGGGAGTAGAGATTGGGTTTCGAGCCGATGAGTCAGGTATTTCAACCGTCAGATGGTCCTGAGGTTGCACAGTGAAACCCGAGCCTGTATCAACGGCGGTTCGTCGTGGTGTCTGGTCTGGGGATCGAAGTTGCGACGCTTGAGAAAAACGATGATGCTGAAGGTGATGATGATGAGGATGATGTGATTTTTTCTATCTTTTCTGATCCGGAAATGCGAAAACTTTATACAGGCGGAGGAGCTGAGGCGAAGACCTACCCTTGT